AAATCCAACCTGTTGCCTGTAATAAAGTTTTATTAGAACACAGTCACATCAGTTCATGTACTCTTGTCTGTGGTTCCTCTATGTTATAAAGTCAGAGTGGAATAGTTGCAACAGAAACTGTATGGCTCACAAAGCCTAAAAATATTTACTGTCTTACCCTATCCAGAAGAAAATCTATGGAACTCCTGGCTTAGTTTTCCTCGTGACAGAGTTGAGGCATTAACAATCCCAAGATGTGGGAAGACATGCTGGGTTAACTGTACGACCCTCTCTCACAGGAAACCAGAGGCTGAAAAGAATATGCTAGTGTTTAAGAATCCCTCCGCATCTGATTCTTTATAGGTAGTACCAGCAGAGGGCCAGGAGAATGGGCAGAGGGAAGAAGAAGAAGAAGAAAAAGAGCCTGAAGCAGAACCCCCTATACCTCCCCAGGTTTCAGTAGAGGTGGCCTTGCCCCCACCTGTGGAGCATGAAGTAAAGAAAGGTGGGTGAATCACTGAGTGAAACAGTGCAACTCCCCGAATCCCAGAGCACTTTATTTGGACTTCTTTTAATGTTTTCCAGCCCTATATAGTATTGTACATATCTGTCTTTCTCTGCCCCTCCTAAGTTATTAAGCTACTTGAGGGCTAGTTTTGACTCTGTTTAATCTTTGAATCCCCTTAATGAGATTAGCCTAGACAATACCTTGCACATTATAGGTGCTCAACACATTTAGATGGAAGAGTGACTCCTGAGTCGGGAAAAGTCATGTTGCCCTGGTCCTTGTGGCTCAGTTGGTTGAGTGTCGTTCCATGTACCAAATGGTGGGCACATGCCTGGTTTGCGGGCTTGATCCCCAGTAAGGGGCATGCAGGAGGTAGCCCATTGATATTTCTCGCATCTGTGTTTTCCTCTCCCTCTCCCTCCCTCCCTCTCTCTCTCTCAAAAAAAAAAATCAACCAAAAAAAGTCATGTTGTTCCCTACTGAAAACCATTTGTGTGCTCTATTTGTTAGTGACTTTAGGAGATACTTTAACACGACGTTCCATTAGCCAGCAGAAGTCTGGAGTTTCCATTACAATAGATGATCCAGTGCGAACTGCTCAGGTGCCCTCCCCACCCCGGGGAAAGATCAGTAACATCGTGCACATCTCCAATTTGGTAAGTTATTTTTCCTACAGTGCAGCCTGGTTGAGTTTGAGCTTTGGACTCATACTTCTTAGGTTCAACTCCTAAAAAGACAGATTGAGCAAGTTACTTAACCTCACAGTCTGTCTTTTCACCTGAAAAATGGGGAGAAAAAAATATCACCTTGCAGAGTTTTCTTAGAATTTGCAGAAGGGCTAGCACATAACGCCTTAGGGAGTGTTAGCATTCTTCTCACAGTACTACCAGAGGGTTCCTCACTTCTGTGCCCTCAGCAAACTTTGAAGCTGTACTCCTGTGACAGTGGCTTGGGAAGTCTTGATACTAGTTATCTGAGTATTGTTTTTCCGCTTTCGTTGGCAGGTTCGACCCTTCACTTTAGGCCAACTGAAGGAATTGTTGGGACGTACAGGAACTCTGGTGGAAGAGGCCTTCTGGATTGACAAGATCAAGTCTCATTGCTTTGTAACGGTGAGGAGCAGATGAAGCTCTAGGTTATGGCATGTTTCTTTTTGTGACCAGCGTGGCAGGTTTGAGGGCATTGTAGCAAGTGGGCGAGATTAAAGGCCTATTATGACCCCTCTGCCTTCTCCCTTCCCCCGCCAGTATTCAACAGTAGAAGAAGCAGTTGCTACTCGCACGGCTCTACATGGGGTCAAATGGCCCCAGTCCAATCCCAAATTCCTTTGTGCCGACTATGCTGAGCAAGATGAGGTAAGAAACTGTGGTAGGGGCGGGGGAGGCCATCTTCTCCTGAGATTCCTTTCTCTCTCCTCCTATTTGGTTCCTTTATGTAAACCAGGGGCTCCGAAGCCTCTGTCCTCTGGTACCTAGGCCCCTTCTGTGGGAGTGATGTCTCTATCCTGACTGTCCTTGTCCCTCCTCTACTCACAGCTGGACTATCACCGGGGCCTCTTAGTGGACCGTCCCTCTGAAACTAAAACAGAGGAGCAGGGGGTACCACGGCCCCTGCATCCTCCACCCCCGCCGCCAGCCCAGCCACCACAACATCCCCGAGCAGAGCAGAGGGAGCAGGAGCGGGCAGTGCGGGAACAGTGGGCAGAGCGGGAACGGGAAATGGAGCGCCGGGAGCGAACTCGATCAGAGCGTGAATGGGATCGGGACAAAGTTCGAGAAGGGCCCCGTTCCCGATCACGGTCCCGTGACCGCCGTCGCAAGGAACGTGCGAAATCCAAAGAAAAGAAGAGTGAGAAGAAAGGTACTTAGCTGTGGGGCATACATATCCACTGGTACATGGCACAGGGACCCAAGTGGGATGGGACATGGGGTGCTGTGCATCAAGTCTGACTCATTTTCTTGCACCTCAGAAAAAGCTCAGGAGGAACCACCGGCCAAGCTTCTAGATGACCTTTTCCGCAAGACCAAGGCAGCTCCCTGCATCTACTGGCTCCCACTCACTGACAGCCAGGTGGGTGCCGGCCTTCCTGCCCGGCTCAGAGCTGCAGCAAGGCTGGGGCCCAAGGAACGGCTTAGGGTAGTAAGGGAAGAAACTGAGCATCACGGAAAGAGGCAGTTTTAAGAAACAGTTGATGAGACTGCCCTGTAGAGAAGCCAAACCTGAGAGGGTGGAGGTAGACACAAAGACAGGAACTGTGTTCACAATCCTAGGAAGCTGGCTGTGCCAGTCAGTCATGCTTCTTAAAAATTAAATTCGGGTAGCAGAGAAATCTGTTTTATAAGCTCACCCATTTCTCTCTTTTTTTAATACATAGGGTTTTTGCTTTTTAAATTTGTTTCTTTGTAACAGGCCTTTTGGGAATTTTAGGTTTATGCCACTCAACTAAAGAGAAAAGAGATTTGTTCACATGTAGGCAGCTAGGGAAATACCAGAGGCCAGGTATGGATGGTGCCCACTACCTGCTGTGAATGTAAAAGATAAACACTTGGAGGAACTGGGACTCTGAGGCAGGGACAAATGTCATTGTTGCGTGCCCCTCCCCACCCCCACCCCCGCCCCCAACACACACATATTCTTCCTGCTTAACAGCAAGGCCAACAGTGACCCTGAGCTAGGAGTGCCTGGTCTAGGTGCAAATAGACAAAAGCAGGACTGATGTGAGCTGGACTCAAATGCCTATTGCCTTTCCTGCCGGCTGCAGATTGTTCAGAAGGAGGCAGAGAGGGCTGAACGGGCCAAGGAACGGGAGAAGCGGCGGAAGGAGCAAGAAGAAGAAGAGCAAAAGGAGCGGGAGAAGGAAGCAGAGCGGGAGCGGAACCGACAGCTGGAGCGAGAGAAGCGGCGAGAGCACAGCCGAGAGCGGGACCGGGAGAGAGAGAGGGACCGGGAGCGTGACAGGGGAGAGCGTGACAGGGATAGGGAAAGGGAAAGGGACCGGGAACGAGGCAGGGAGAGGGACCGCAGAGATACCAAGCGCCACAGCAGGAGCCGGAGTCGGAGCACACCTGTGCGGGACCGGGGTGGGCGCCGCTAGCTGGGAAAACAGTAGGGAGAGCTGCAGGCATCAGCCACCCTGCCCCGGGGTGGGGGCTCAAGGCCACAGAGGGATAGGTACAATCTGTTTCATGCCATTTGCCCAGCGCTGAAGTATGGCTGCCACCTGTCCCTACATACCAAATGGAGCAGTGGCCATCTTCCTCCCCTGTACCCCATAACCTATCTCGGGATTTCGCTCTCTCCTCTCTCTCATTTCCCATGAAGTCTGTGAGAGGGAAGAGCTAGGTTAGAGAGGGAGGTGGTGGCCCAGAGTTGGGGAATAGCCAGGAGCCCCAACCTTTTTCATTTTTCCTCCATCCTGTTCACCACCTCCTTTGGGTACTCACACCCCTTCTTGGGAACAGCTGGGGCCAGGACTGGGTCACCTATGAGCTGAATCAGCCTCTCCTGAGTCCCAGGGCCCCTGCAGTTCCCAGTCTTTCTGTCCTGCAGCCCTTGCCTTCTGCCCACCGGTTTCACTTTATATCCACCTTTTCCTTTTGTTCAATTTTTATTTTTATTTTTTTTATTATTAAATGATGTGGTCTATGGAAAAATAATAAAAATCTGACTTAGTTTTAACTAGTGTGTGAGTGGCTTTCCTTGGGTAGGGCCCTGGGTGATGGTGGATTTTGGCCGGAGCCAGCATAGCTTTGTGCAGACTGCTGCTTCCCAGAGCCGGACTGACCACCTCCTTCCCTGCCTTGGCTCTAATCACACAGATAAGGGGCTACCTCACTGGTGGTTAGCGGGTAAGGCCCCCTGGGTCCCGCTGGAGGCATTTTGGTCACCTGCTTTTCACCTTCAAGGTGCCTCCCACAACTGCCGCCAGAGGGCGGCAGCCGCCCGCCCGGTAGGCGCCTGTTAATGAGCTTCCCAAAAAGGCTCCACTCCCCACCTCCGTTCCCGCCAGCCCAGCTTCCTGGGCCCAGCCCGGGGACTCCCTGGACCTTTATGCCATCCTGAAGCGCACCCCAGCAGGCTCGCTACTGTGTCCTGCACCGGCTGCCCAAATGCCGCCGCCTTGCGGCCAGGGTCCATACCAGCCCCCGAGGCCGGTCCGCGAGCGAGAGCGGGCCTCTCCGCAGTGGCCCCTAATTCCCCTCCTAGCCTCCAGCTCGCCCTGCGACCCCGCTGTGGGGGCATGCAGCCCCCTTGGCACTAACGGGTGCACCCTCCCGCCAGCTCTGGGGACCTGGCCTGGACGTCCCCCCAAGTGCCTCGCTGCGGGCCGGGCCCAGGAGGGGTGGTGCATCTGTATGCGCCCCGCGGCCTGGCGGCGCCGCCCCCGCCCCCGCCGCGCGGGCCGGGCTGGCCGGGGAGGGTCGGAGGCTGGGCTCTCCTCTCCCGCGCGGCGCGGAGCTGCCTCGCTCCTCCGCAGGCGGAGCCTCTTCCCCCGCCCCCTCCGTCTCGCTCCCTTGTTCTCGCCGGGGCCGCTCAGACCTGCAGCGGAGCCGCGGCGCCCGCTCGGATCGGCTCCGGCTGCGCCCCGGGGACCCGGCGACGAGGGCGGGCGGGGGTGCTCCCGCCGGACGGGGCCCGTCAGTGCTGCCAGGTAAGGGCCTGTCCGGGAGCCCGGGGTCGGGGGTCCGCGGAGGGGCAGCGGGGGGCCCGCAGTCTGCGGGTGTCTTCAGAGCAGTGCGCTCCCGGCTGAGAGCCTGCCGCCGGCTCCCTTCTCCCGCGCTCTGCCTGTCTCTTCTTCCCTCGCACCTCCCGCCTTCTTTTTCCCATTTTCCTCTCCCTCGATGTCTCCTCTCTCTGCCAGTTTGCCATCTCTGCCCCTTCCCTGTCTCCCCAGCCCTTCTCTCTCCCTCTTGACCTGTCTTTCCCCATCTCCACTTCCTCTTTGCCTTTTTCTTCCTCTACCTTAGTCTCTCCTTTCCTGTCTCTCTCCTCTCTTCCCGCTCTCCTTTCCTTCCCCTATTCCTGCCCGCTCCTCTCCCCTTCCCACTATCCTGTTTTCCACTCTATTCCTTCCTTCCCTCCGCGTCCCGCCTCCCTCTCTGGTCCCCGGCTTCCCTCCCGGCTTTCCTCTTCCCTCGGGAGGGGAAGGATTATCAGGTGTGTGTCTGCTCCCGGGGAGGATGGAGGCGGCCACGGCTACCTGCGGGTCCCCCCCACCCCTAGGACGGAGGGTGGAGATGGCCGTGGGAGGGGTCCTCACTCTAGCTCCCACCCGAAGCCCCTCCTAGCCACCCCCTCTCCCAGAAGGAAGTTCAGGCGGCCTGGTCTGACCCCTGCAGCTGAGGCTGACCTGCCTGCCCATCACACACGCCAAGCCCCTCTGCCCCTGCGCTTCCATTCCCCAGACCAGTACCTATGACTCTTGTCTGCCTTTCAGACACCAGGCAGCCTCCTTTGCTCTCTCCTTCAGTCTCACTGCCATTCTGTCTGTCTCTGCTGGACAGTCCAGTCTTGATTTCACCCCCCCATCACCCTGTGTCTCTTCCTCCTCCCCAGTCTACTGGCTCTGCCCCCAACTCTACCCCCTCTTCCTTCAGCTCTGGCTCCCCACTCTGCCTCATGAGCCCAGGTCCCTTTCAAGGACTTCAGCTGGCAGTGTGGGCCGGGGGCAGCTTCCTGCGGGGGGAGGGACTTGCAAGGGCTCTCCAGCCTGTTTCAGGCTGCACTCCTTGTGATTTCAACCTGACCCTACACAACTCCACGCATCCCAACCCCCGGGTGGTCAGCCTTTCCCGGGTGGCACCCATCTCCTCCAGCCCCTGCTGCATGTGCAACATGGGCTTTCATGCCCTCCCAGCACCCCCTCGCCTGTTTTCTTCCCCAGCTTCTCTATTCAGAATTGACTGGCTGGAGATTTATCAGCTCGGAGGGCTGGAGGTGAATACAGGCAGAGCCGGGTGGAGGGGAGGACCAGCCTGTCTGCTCTCTGTCTTCATCTGGGTTCTGGGCAGGGGGAGTCTGGTTCCATAGAGCATCTACCTCTGGTTTAGGGAGGGTTAAGTGTTTCCTTGACCCTGAACAGCTACCTGTCCTGCAGGTGTGGATCCATGGGATAGCCCCAGCATGTGCCCCTCTGCCCCAGTCAGCTCATGCCTCAGCACCTGGGGACAGTGAACAGAGCCCTGGCTAGAGCCCAAACATGTGGGGCCTGGTGAGGCTCCTGCTGGCCTGGCTGGGTGGTTGGGGCTGCATGGGGCGCCTGGCAGCCCCAGCCCGGGCCTGGGAAGGGGCCCGGAGGGGCCCAGGACCAGCACTGCTGCGGACCCGAAGGAGCTGGGTGTGGAACCAGTTCTTTGTCATCGAGGAATATGCCGGTCCAGAGCCCGTCCTCATTGGCAAGGTAAGGATCAAGCCCTCCTATGGCTACCTTGACTCTCAAGCCCTGCCCTGTCACTTCATCATTTCTGCAATGACCTTGGTCCCTCAGGACTCCTAACACTCCACTCAGTCCTAGACTTAGACTCTTTAACCCGCTGTTCCTATGTGCGGAACCTGCTGCCATTTTCCCCTGACCCTCACAGCTGCACTCGGATGTGGATCGGGGTGAGGGCCGCACCAAGTACCTGCTGACCGGGGAGGGGGCAGGCACCGTGTTTGTGATTGACGAGGCCACAGGCAATATCCATGTCACCAAGAGCCTGGACCGGGAGGAGAAGGCACAGTACGTGCTACTGGCCCAAGCCGTGGACCGAGCCTCCAACCGTCCCCTGGAGCCCCCATCAGAGTTCATCATCAAGGTGCAGGACATCAACGACAATCCCCCCATCTTTCCCCTCGGGCCCTACCACGCCACAGTTCCTGAGATGTCCAACGTCGGTGAGTACCCCAAGTCTAAACACGCAGATCCCACCTCCTCTTTTCTCCGTCCCCTTGCTTTCTGCCCCAAAACCGAATCTTTCGATTCAGGCCTGCTCATGTCTGGGTTCCCCTCATCTACTATTCTCCCCCTCCTGGGCCTGCCCCTGCTGAATGGGGTGCCGGGATCCCCCACAGGGACATCAGTCATCCAGGTGACTGCTCACGACGCCGATGACCCCAGCTATGGGAACAGCGCCAAGCTGGTGTACACTGTGCTGGATGGACTGCCTTTCTTCTCCGTGGACCCCCAGACTGGTGAGGACAGGGGTCGGGAGTGGTGGGGCAGCCATGGGAGAGGCACCCCTTGACCCAGTGTCTCTCCCTAGGAGTCGTGCGTACCGCCATCCCCAACATGGACCGAGAGACACAGGAGGAGTTCTTGGTGGTGATTCAGGCCAAGGACATGGGCGGCCACATGGGGGGGCTGTCGGGCAGTACTACGGTGACGGTCACCCTCAGCGATGTCAACGACAATCCCCCCAAGTTCCCTCAGAGTAAGGGGCCAGTGCTGCCACCTGAGCCACCCTTTGACCACCCACCCCACTCCTCCCCCAGCCAGGCTCCGGAAGAAGGAAGTGCTGGGGGAGGGAGGAGCGTTGGGGACCTCTCTGAGAATGTCTCCCCTCCATCCACCCCCAAGGCCTGTACCAGTTCTCGGTGGTGGAGACAGCTGGGCCAGGCACCCTGGTGGGCCGGCTTCGGGCCCAGGACCCAGACCTGGGGGACAACGCCCTCATGGCATACAGCATCCTAGATGGGGAGGGGTCCGAGGCCTTCAGCATCAGCACAGACGCCCAAGGTCGAGATGGGCTCCTCACTGTCCGAAAGGTTAGCCTCTTGTCCGCTAACACTTGCAGACTCACTCATACCCACCTCCTGCCCCCGGGACACACTTCTCGCTGGTCTAGAACAGACCCAGGAAGCTATGTTAGAGCTCAGAAATCATAGCCATCCCCTCATCTTTCAGATGAGGGCCTGGGGCTCAAGACTTCATATATCAGAGTCTGTGATAGAGCTGGGGATAGACCTAGAGTTACTCACGAAGTCATCTGCCCCCACCCTTGACCACCAAGGCCACTGGCCCTCTCAGCACTGGGTGCTTCTGGGGAAAGGCCTCCTCACCCTCCGGGAGCCTGGGCCTGCCCTGGTTTCTACATGTCTCAGTCACTCCACCTCCCCTGCCGTAGTCCCTAGACTTTGAGACCCGTCACTCCTACTCCTTCCGTGTGGAGGCCACCAACACGCTCATTGACCCAGCCTACCTGCGGCGAGGGCCCTTCAAGGATGTGGCCTCAGTGCGCATAGCGGTGCAGGATGCCCCAGAGCCGCCCGCCTTCACCCAGGCAGCCTACCACCTGGTGGTGCCCGAGAACAAGGCTCCTGGGACCCTGGTGGGCCAGGTCTCAGCCACTGACCTGGACTCCCCCGCCAGCCTGATCAGGTGAGTGGAGGGTGTCAGGGCAGGGCCAGGCCTGGGGGAAGGTGCCCAGGGGCGGTCTAGTCCCTTGGAGGATGTCTCACTTGCCTCCTGGCAGAGGTCTCCCTCCCTGGGGGCCTGGGGCCAGGGGAGGGCCGGAGGACCTGGCTCCACACTCCCGACTCTCCACTCATCCCTCTGGGTGGATGAGAGAGGTGCCTCCTAGTGGCAGTGCAAGCAGATGTGATGTCATCGGCCAAGTGTGCTTGATCACTGGGTCACGCCCTCAGCCTGTCACACTGACATTTAATTCTCACAACTGCCCTATGAAGGAGCGTCTTCGTCACCAGCCTTGCGAGGCTAGGCCTGTGAGGGTTAGTAACTTGCCCAAGGTCACCCGGTCAGTGAGTGGCAGAGCTGGGTGTCAAACCTGGGGTGAGAAGCCCGTCGCCACCCACCCAGAGAACCCGTCTTCCCACTGCCCAGCACTGAGGGAGGAGCTGGTCTCATGCCCATTGTGCAGTTGGGGAGACAGAGGTTAAACCATTTGCCCAAGGTCCCACAGTGGGTCTGGGGCAGAGTGGAGCTAGAACACAGATCCCGGGGTCCCCAGAACAGAGCCCAGAGTCTGAAAGACAGGCAGTGTCTCCCCACTTCTACCTCTTTCTGTCTCTCTCCCCGACCCCTAGGAAACCCAGTCCCCCTGAGTTTCATGACAGGTATTTAATGTTGATGACTTCCCAGGGACATTGTCTTTTAAGGGGACCCTATGTGAGTTATAGTTGTGGGTGCATGGGGCAGGAGGCCCAGTAAGGGGAACAGAAGGAGGGGGGGGGGGGCGCGGAGAGCAGTAAGCTGTGGCCTTGCCCCCAGATCAGCCCCAGTTCTACTCTGTCTTCACCAGATACTCCATCCTCCCCCACTCGGATGTGGAGCGCTGCTTCTCCATCGAGCCTGAGGACGGCACCATCCGCACAGCTGTGCCCCTGGACCGCGAGGCTCGAGCCTGGCACAACCTCACGGTGCTGGCCACAGAGCTTGGTGAGGAGTCCTGGGCCCCCGGAGGCCCTGGAGAAGGCAGCAGCCTCCTGGCAGAGGGACTGTCCCCGAGCGTGGGCGCAGGGGGGAGGAAGGGTACTGCCATCGGACCCTCCCCCGTGTACTGGGTCCCCAGTCTGGATCACCACCATCAGGCAGGCCTGCTCTCCTCGGCTGGTGGGTCTGCTAGAGCATTCTCCTGACCTTAAATTCACTCCTATGCCTGACTTTTCCCATCTCCAAAGTAAGTGTAACCTCAAATAGCTCCCAACCCCTAAGAATCCCAGCCTGCACCCTGGTAGACCCGCCCTGTGTACTCTCTGCTTCAGGCTGAAGCCAAGGGCCGGGGAAGGGCTGGGACCTGCTCTGGGGGCTGATTGGGGGGCCCTAGTGGTCACTCCCAGGGAAGCCCTGAAGGGAACCCTCAAGGTAGGGGAGAAGGCTGGCTCCTCTCCTGCCCCTGTCAGTCGCCAGTCACCAGCAGCATGGTTCAGCGGCCTCTCTCCGGGCAGCTCTGGCCCATGGAGGCAGGGAGCCGCCCCCCTGTCAGTCTCCCCTTATCACCCCTGCTCAGGCCCAGGGTGCACTACATTTGCTGTGTCCCATCCATGGGAGTTGTCACTGTGGTGTGTAGATGTTTGCATGTCAGTCAAGAGCTAATGTATGCGTGTCTGCGTGTTGTGCACTTACTTGTGAATATAATCCCATGTGTATGAAAAGTACATATGCTCACATACATATTTATGAGTACATGTCTATATATATGTATATGTAGTTGAGTGTTTAGAATTACATTTACATTATTTATGCAGAATTACATTTACATTATTTATGCATATGTGTAATTGAATGTGTATAATGATAGGTACACGTAGCTGGTTGTGTCTGTTGTTTTATATATGTGAGTGTTTATGGACAGATAATAACTTATTACTTATTGTATATCAGGCACTGGTCTTAGTACCAAATGTAGATTTATTCATTTAATCATCACCACAAATTTGTGAGGGAGGTATGATTATTTCTCCATTTTACAATGAGAAAACTCAAGCAAAGGCAAGTTAAAGAGCTTTCCAAGGTCACACAGAGATGAAGTGATGGAACAGGCAGACCCAGTCAGGCTACAGAGTCTGAGCTATGTCCTTTCACCATGCCGCTGTCATACGTGTTAAATCGTACTTGTATAGGTTATGTCCGTGCAGCTGTGTGTCACGTGGCAGTGCATGCCTGTCTGTCCCTGAGTGTTCCTGAGTGTATATATAGTGTGTGTTATGGCTGCCTGTGTACACATAACCAGCCGTGTGTGTGTGTGTGTGTGTGTGTGTGTGTGTGTGTTTCCCCTCACTGTCTTTTCACCCTTCTGCCAAGTCCTGCTCCCCGCTGGAACCCCAGTATCAACTAGCAGATCCTGGGCCCTTAGTGCAGTGAAGGAATGGATCCAGCCCCATCCTGTCTCTGGTGTATCCCCAGCCTTTAGCCAGGCAGCCCACTCAGCCTCCTTTGCCAGGCTGCGACCTTCAGCTCTCTCCGTGTGGGGGGTGAGGGCGATAGTAAAGGGATCAGCCTAGGAGAGGTGAGCACTAGGGTGAGCAGGGATGCACATATTTCCATTCTCTCTTGGGGCCACTGGCAGGGAGAAGCAAGGCAGGGTAGTGGTGGGAGCCACCTGATGAAGGGACGGGAGAAGAGGGGCCTGCATCTGCCTGTGGTGCCCAGGCTCTGTACCCTGTGCAGCATGCAGCGCCTCCCTCCCCAAGGTCAATTCTAAGTGATACTCATTGCTGCACCACAGCCTTCCTCTGATGGGGCGTGGTGTGTGTGTGTGTGTGTGTGTGTGTGTGTGTGTGTGTCCTCCCACCAATGCCGGGCATGAAAATGCATTATCTGGACCCTGGGGGTTGGGGGATACTGTACCCACTGTGTACACTGAACATCCACTTCATGTATGTTGCATTTATTTTCAATGCTGAGTGTCCTAATATATGGTATGCCTGTGCTTGTGTATTTCATGGCTGTTGTCTAAATGCAACCTGTATGCACCTTCTATCTACCCTTCATTTATGGTGTATGTGCCCTACATGTGGGTTATTGTTTGTGTAAATCATGGGTGCTACCTTCCTGTCAATGTATATTGTGTATTGCACATGTCTTGGGCACTACATGAATGTTGTATGCACTTGGTCTTGTTCCATTCATTGCAAACTGTTTGCTACTTGCAAATTGCATGCATATGTGTTGCATGTGCATGCTATGTGCTGCATGTGACATCCATGCCCATGCACCATGTATGTTTGTCTGCGTGTGTGGGGTGTATGTGTTCATGTTCTGGCTTCAGACAGCTCCGCACAGGCCTCCCGTGTGCAAGTGGCCATCCAGACCTTGGATGAGAATGACAATGCTCCCCAGCTGGCTGAGCCCTACGACACCTTCGTGTGTGACTCTGCAGCCCCTGGCCAGGTGAGCTGCTGAGACAGAGGGGCTGGGACCGCAGACCTCTGGCTGCGCACTCCATACAGGCCTGTTTCCTTCCTCCCAGCTGATTCAGGTCATCCGGGCTTTGGACAGAGACGAAGCTGGCAACAGTAGCCGTGTCTCCCTTCAAGGTCCTCTGGGCCCTGATGCCAACTTCACTGTCCGGGACAACCAAGGTGGGTGGCCTGCCCATGCTTGCCTCCCTGCTCCTCTCTAGCTCCAGCCTACCTGACCCCTGCCCGCCTATCTGGTCTCTCCTCCTAACAGAAAGGAGATGTGGCTTTGCTCATATTTGCTGACTGTAAACCTTCCCCATGGGAAGCTGTCTCCATGGGCCAGCCTGACCCTACTGGGAAGGTATCCCAGGAGATGTCGTAACACCTCCTCTCTCCCACAGATGGCTCTGCCAGCCTACTGCTGCCCTCTCGTCCTGCCCCGCCCCGCCAGGCCCCCTACCTGGTTCCCATAGAACTGTGGGACTGGGGGACCCCAGCCCTGAGCAGCACTGCTACAGTGACCGTCAGCATGTGCCGCTGCCGGCCTGACGGCTCCGTGGCATCCTGCCGGCCCGAGGCTCAGCTCTCACCCGCTGGGCTCAGCACCGGGGCCCTGCTCGCCATTGTCACCTGTGTGGGCACCCTGCTTGGTGAGTCGGGCCACAGTGGGACATAGATGTGGGGTCCAGGTCCTTGGGGATGTGGAGAGGCATCAGGACCCTGGACTTAGGGAAATCCACCCTCGGGCTTACAGGAACCCTCGTGCCTGTGTTGTCACACTGCCTGATGCATCCAAGAGAAAAGCTCTGGCCTTACATGCCTGACCTGCTGGTCTGCAGTGGCAGTAACAAGCCATAAAACTGTTTATTGAGCCCCAACTCTGGGCCACAGGTGGCCCTGGGCACATCACTTAACGGTATTGCATTTCATCCTTTTGACAACCCTGCGAGGTAAATGCTTTCCCTGTTTTCCATACGAGCAATCGATCTAAGGGTCAGAGAGGTTTGGACACGTTAGGCAACTTCCCATGCTCACACAACAGGTAAGGGCTGAAGCCTGGACCCACACGAAGTTCACTAGACATCAAACCTAGGGCTTGCCACCCCCAGGCCACACTGCCTCCTCCGGCACCCACCCTCTGCCGCCCGCTGGCTCAGCGCCCGTCCTCTCCCCCAGCCCTGGTGGTGCTCTTCGCGGCCCTACGGCGCCAAAAGCAGGAAGCACTGATGGTGCTGGAGGAGGAGGACGTCAGGGAAAACATCATCACCTACGACGATGAGGGCGGCGGGGAGGAGGACACGGAGGCCTTTGACATCAGCGCCCTGCAGAACCCCGACGGGGCCCTGCCGGCCCCCGGGCCTCCCGCGCGCCGGGACGTGCTCCCCCGGGCTCGGGCGCCGCGCCAGCCCCGGGCCCCGGGCCCCGGCCCCGCCGACGTGGCGCAGCTCCTGGCGCTGCGGCTCCGCGAGGCCGACGAGGACCCCAGCGTGCCGCCCTACGACTCGGTGCAGGTGTACGGCTACGAGGGCCGCGGATCGTCCTGTGGCTCCCTCAGCTCCCTTGGCTCCGAGGCCGGCGGCGCGCCTGGCCCGGCGGAGCCGCTGGATGACTGGGGGCCGCTCTTCCGCACCCTGGCCGAGCTGTACGGGGCCAAGGAGCCCCCGGCGCCCTGAGTCGGGCTGCCCTGCCGGCCATGGTGGGGGAGCCCGCACCGGCCCTCTGAGTGAACCCCGGTGTCCAAGCAGGTGGCAGCAGCCCAGGGGCCCCAAGCCTTTTCCCCATCCCTGTGTCCCTGATCCCCCAGGCACCCCGCTCCTCCCTCCCTCCTCCTGAGTCTTCTGTGTCTCTCTCCAGGGACCTCTGTCCCTGGAACTCTGTCTGGGCCTGGGTTGTGTGGCTCCGACTGAATCTCTGTTCTGTCACTGTGATTCCACCTTCTCCGTGGCTGTTTTTGTCTCTGGATTCTAAACCTCATGCTCTCTGTCTCCCTTGCCCCCACACACATGCTTGTGTCTGTCTCCTGCCCACATCTGCCCCATTTCTCTCTGGGTCCCTGTGACTGGATTTCTGTTTTTTGCCGTTGTCCAACCCAAAAGCAAGAGAAACTTCCAGCCACTGCTGCCCATCTTCCTGCAGGGGATGTTCGGCCCCAGGTCAGTGCCCCGAGATTGTGTGGGGCGCAGGTGGCCCGAAGCCCTCCCCCACTCACTACCTCTAACGAGGCTCTCCTGTCTTTACAGACCTTCCCGCATGGTTCCATCCATCACTCATGGCCCATCCTGGCTCTCCTGGCCTCCAGCAGAGAAAGGGAGCCAGCCCACCCCCAGGGGAGAGCTCCAGCACCACCCCACACATACACACACACTTGGCTGCCTCCCTGGAGCTCTGCCAGGCTCTTGGCATCCCAGCTCTGGGCATTGTCTTGTGTGCTTCCCAGGCCCCAGCGGGAGGGGAGGGGAAGGAAAGGGGGAGGCATCTGGGGAAGGGGAAAGAGGGAGGATGGGGAGGAGCCTCCATCTCTAATTTCATAATAAACAAACACTTTATTTTGTAAAGCTGGAGCCCTGTTCTGTTTCTGCACTCAGGCTTCTGGACGGAGCTTCATTGTGCCAAAGGGCGGGAGGAGAGGCCTAAGCTTATTCCCCCTGGCTCATTCTTTCTCCTTTGGGGGGCAGTCCACTTCAAGTCCCTCTAGATCAGTGGTCACCAACCTTTCGGACCTCACGGACCACCAGGGGTCCGCAGACCACCGGTTGGCGACCGCTGCTCTAGACAGAGGAGGGTTTGCGTGGCTTCCATTCAGGAAGTGAGGAAATAATGACTTGTGCCCCACTCCTACCACCAACTGTTTGGGTTCCCTATTGTTCTCAAACTGTCCTAGGAAATTAAGATGTGGGGACTGGCCAGAGGGAAGGATGGAAAGAAGTAGAGGGTGAGGGCTACAGAGAAGAGAGGAGGAGAGATGAAAGAAGAGCCCTAGCTGGTTTGGCTCCGTGGATAGATTGTTGGCCTGCGGATCAAAGGGTCCAGGGTTCTGTTCTAGCCAAGGGCACATACCTTGTTTGCAGGCTCCTCCCCAGGCCCTGGTTGGGGCTCCTGTAAGAGGCAGCCAGTCCATGTGTTTTTCTCACATCAATATTTCTCTCTGTCTTTCCCTCTCTCTCCCACTCTCTCTTAAAAAAAAAAAAAAAATTCAATAGAAAAATATCCTTGGGTGAGGATTAAAAAGGCTAAGAAGAAAAGAGGGATTTCAGACTATGAAAAAATGTTTGTGTTGGGGGGACAAGCCATTCTCTCTTGGGGCCTGTGGTGCCCATTGGGCAAAGGGTGGGCCAGTGTGAGATGGCACAGTCACACTGAATCCGGGCCTGCTGCCCCAACCTTTAACTCTCCCCAGTCCACTGTCTTATTCTCTTTTCTATATATACTAGAGCCCCGATGCACAAAATTCGTACAAGAGTAGGCCTTTCTTCCCCTGGCTGCCTCGCGTCCCACGGCCCCACCCCCCACCTACTGGTTGTTCCGGAAGGTCATTCCGGACTGTCGTTCCAGTCTAATTAGCATATTAGCTCTTTATTATATAGGACTCGAGGCTCGATGCACAAAATTTGTGCAAGAGTAGGCCTTCCTTCCCCCAGCTACTGGCACCGGCTTCCCTCTGGCACCCGGTACCTGGGCTTCCCTTGCAGCCCTGACTTCTTCCGAAAGGTCATCTGGAAGGACGTCTGGTCTAATTAGCATATTATGCTTTTATTTTTATAGATTTGTTTTAATTTATTTCAGAGAGGCAGGGAGAGGGGGAAAGAGATAGAAACACCAATGATGAGAGAGAATCATCGATTGGCTGCCTCCTGCATGCCCCCCACTGGGGATCAAGCCTGCAACCTGGGCATGTGCCCTGACCAGGAATCAAACCGTGACCTCCTTGTTCATAGACCAACACTCAGCCACTGAGCCAGCTGGCTGAGCCATTGTCTTATTCTTCATGGAGCACAAAGGAGGAGGGTGAGGACCAGAGAGGCAGAATCAAAGCCAACTGGGGTGGGAGCTGAGTGGGAGCAGCCAGCATCGCTCAATGTCCACTCTCTGAGCAGAGAAGGGATCAGCGTGAGTACTCAGGCCTCCCTCCTAACTCCAGGGGGCGGAGGGGACGGGATCTTGTAGACTCGAGTAGGTGGGTCAGGACAGGTCCTTATGTCCCTCCCCTCCAAGTGTGAGCTGCTGGCAATCAGGAAAGCTGCTCCAAGGGTTACTGCCTTCTTGCACACCTCCCACACCTGGTTGGTTAGGGCAACCAGGTGGTGGGACAATAAGGACCCTTGCCCCAGGGCTGGAGTTGTCATTTCCTCTGCTGAAGGCTGGAACTGGACCCCTGACTGCCAAAGGCCTGTGCAAGAGCAGGCAGTCTGCCCCCTAAAGGCCTCAGGTGACAGTGAGGAAGCAGCACACCAAGCAGGGTGTCAGAGGAACAAGGTCTTCCAGCTCAGGGCAGGACAGGCAAGATCCCTACCCCTTTGATCTCTCTCTGATAGCTGCATCAAGCTTCAGGAATAAGTGGAGAAAAGGAGAACTGACTGTGGGCCACTCCTGGGTAGTAAGGGGTGTGTTGACGTGAATGCACACCCTCCTCTGGTCCGGACCTCCCCCACTCATTAAACTTAGGGGGGACAGGGCATGGGAAACAGGCTGGTCAGCAAGACCCTTGGGCTTATCTCTGGTCTCAAATGCTTTATCTTCCGGAAGGACAGAGCCTGTCAAAGGAGTGAAGAAGGGCAGGACCATGAAAGGAAAAGAAAAGGGGAGAAGCAATGGGTGAAGGAGACGCAGGAAGGAGGACGCCCCTCCTGTGCTGCCCTCTTTGTCTGGGTTCCATCCTCCCTCCCAGTCTATGGGAAGTGGAGGGGCACAGAACATCCCAGGAGACTGAGCTACATGCAGTTCCCAGAGAGCCTTTTGCTGGGCTCAGGTGGCAATCCAGGCTCCAGACCACCACTCCCTCCCTCTACTTCTCACTCCCAGGACAGGGGTGGGAGGGTGCAGAAGGGGTGGGATGAGGCCTGACCCCACCTCCTCTTTACTCTGGAACAGTGGGTCGCCAACCCATGGTCTGCGGACCACTGGGGGTCCGTGAGGTCCAAAAGGTTGGTGACCACTGCATTTTCCCAAAAGAAGTGACAAGGCCTGACTTTCTCCCCAATAAGGTCTTGCTCTCCTTATCCAAGTGTTGCTCCTTCTTTTCCAGTCTGTCTCCTGTCTCTGCACTCAGGAACCACACATGCATCACCCGTCACACTCATGTGCACACACCTATCCTGGATCACTCACACCAGGACACAAGACCCACACACATCTCTGCACATGGAGAGGCACTCTCTCATGCCTGATTCCATTAAACACTTGAGTCCTAGGCAAAGCTGCCCTTCCTCCTGTGCTCCCCCAGGACTAGGCTAGCCAGGGTCCCTGACCTCCAGTTATTCTTTCCAGAGCCCTGCCTTCCCTCCCCTGAGGCTGAGGAGCAGGCGAGGGGTGAAGAAGGGTTGCTGAACAGGCCACTGGCCAGATTCTAGACCCTGGCTCCAAGGCTAGTCCTCCTACTGGGCACCTTTATTTTTTTAATCCTTACTCCAATATATTTTTTCCATTGATTTTCAGAGAGAGTGGAAGGTAGGGAGGAGGAGAAGAGAGAGAGAAACATTGAAGTGAGAGAGACACATTGATTGGCTGCCTCCTGCTTGCCCGCACCAGGGCCAGGGATCAAGGTACAGGCCCTTGACTGGGAATCGAATCCATGACCCTTTGGTCCATAGGCTGCCACTCTAACTACTGAGAAAAACCAACTAGGGCCTGGACACCTTTCTCTTTTCTTTTAAATATATTTTTATTGATTTCAGAGAGGAAGGGAGAGGGAGAGAGATAGAAACATCACTGATGAGAGAGAATAATTTATTGGCTGCTTCCTATCCACCCCCCTCCACTGGAGATCCAGCCTGCAACCTGGGCATGTGCCCTGACTGGGAATCGAACCATGACCTCCTGGTTCATAGATCGATGCTCAACCACTGAGCCATACTAGCCAGGCCTGGGCACCTTTCTACAGTCGCTTTTCCCTATCACAATTTCATCCCCTTTGTCCCCACTGCTTTCCTTCTTAGGGCTCCCTGACCTTTCCTCCCTCATCTCCAGTCATCCCCCCCGAAGGCCTGAGCCTGGAGGTCTCCTCTGTCTGGCCAGCTCCTGCCTGGATGACCCCTTAGCCTGAGGTGCAGGGTTGGAACTCAAGGAAGGCCTAGGGGCTGGGAGACGTGTCAGGGGGGGAAGTGGCTGTTATCTGTGGAATGGAAGCTGCAGGAGTGGGATAGAGAAAGATGGTTCAGCAGCCTTCCTTCAGCTCCCATCTCTTGGCTGACGGTGCTTTCTCTGGGAATGGGAGGGGCTGGAGGGTGTCCCTCCTGGAGCTGTCAGCCTGCAGCTCCAAGTCAGGGCTTACAGGGGAGCTGGAGGGGGCCAGGAGGGCAGGAGAAGCCGAGCTAACCTGATAGTTCCCACCGGCACAGCCATCTCCCTCTTTCCTGCGTGCCCCAGAGGCCGCTACAGGAAGGAGAGGCTGGAAAGAAGGCAGAGGGAAGAAGGAGGAGGAGAATCTGGCAGCAGCAACAACAGAACCGAAAGAGCAGCGCACAGGTGCGCTGTGGGGCCGGTTCCAGGCCCTGGCAGGTAGGGCACATGAGGCTCAGGGGGAGCAGCCTCCCTGGGCCACCCCTCCCCCAGGCCCTCAGGGTCCTCTGGGTTCAGTCATCCCTGGCCACGGGCATGGGCTTGGCCCGCTCCTCTCCCCACCTCCCGCCCCAGATGCCTGCAGGGCTCTGTCCTGGTGGCAGGGAGGAAAGTGAGGCAGAGGACCTGGGAGGAGAAGTTGTGCTAAAGCAGCATTGCGCTGGAGCCCAAGGTCTGCCGCTTACTTTGTGACCTCGGGCAAGGTTTCCTCTTCTGTAAAATGAGGATAATTTTTACCTCAGAGAGTTACGCCAGAACTGTACTCACTTAGAATGAAATGGGGCCGGGGGAGGGACGGCAGAGGGGAGCAGATGAGAAGCCCATCGCCACCCACCAGGGCCCCCCCCCCCCCCCCCCCCCGCAATGCTCTGCGCCTCCAGCCTGGGCCCTTTGGGCTACTCCCCACCTCACCCCCACCCCTGGCTTCCCCACCTTAGCAAGCTGAGAAAATGACAGACTCTGAAGCTGAGATAAGGACTAAAATGGGAGGAGGAGGAAAGACCGGGGGTAGGGTGGAGAAAGCAGAGAGAGGGTGGCAGGAAATGAGGGTCTAGCGCCTCGCACAGCGTCTGGCGCACAGCAGGCGCGCAGTGAGGATTTCTGAGAGAAGGACTTGGCGCTGGAAGGAGGCTGGACCAATCTATTGGGCGCCAATAGGGACACGCTGGACAGAACCATCACAGGTCTGGGTTGCAGAAAGAGAGGGAGACTCGGAACAAATGAAACGGGCCACCCCTAAGGGCTGGAGCCAGAGGCTGTGAGGCCGCTCACACCCACCCTTCACCCGCTCCCTGCACTGGGTCCCCCCAAGTCCTGCCACTTCTTACGGAGTCTCAGCCTCTGCAGGGAGCCCCGAGTCTCCCGGTAGGCGTCCCACAGAAGGTTCCCCACCGTCGCCAGCTCCGTGGGGGGTGGCAGGTCCGGGATGGGCCTGGCTGGCCTCCTTCTCCTCTCGCTTCTCCGGCTCCGGGAGCTTCTGCAGCTCCGAGTACAGCACGCAGGCATCGTTGCGTGACACGTACTCCCACCCACTCTCTCGCACATGGAAAAGGTCCACAGAGCCCCCAGAGTAGGCGTCACGGTGGGTGGCGTGGGCCACGGCGCGGCGAGCCAGGGCGTAGGCCTCCTGAGTGGTCATGTCGTAGCGGTAGCCGCGGTCCAGCACGCCGTAGGCATAGGGAGACCCCGAGCCCACCGAGAAGATGTCCCCCTGCAGGCGGGTGCCATCGCTGTAGACATAGAAGAGGGCAGGGCCGGAGCGGTCCCAGCCGCAGAGAGCAGTGGCCACACACAGATCCAGCCCCCGGTAGCGGGACATCATGGTGGACAAGAGCTTGGCAGCGCTGGCCACACTGGGCAGCCGGCCCTCCCTCAGCGCCCGCAGCCGCAGCTCCCGCTGCAGCACCCGGTACCACGTGGCGCAGTCAGCGGAGGTGCCGGACGTGGTGCCCAGGAGGTGCTGGTGGACGGGGATGACCTTGCGGGAGGCTGGACACGCCACGTAGTTGCTGCAGGAGGAACGGGTGTCGGCCGCAGCGATGACTCCGTGACGGAAGCGGAAGGCCAGCGTGGTGGTGCCGTGGGCCAGCCGGGGGCCATGGGTCCTCAAGAAGGTTTGAGGGTCACAGCCGCGGGGCACGGCCCAGCCACCGGCCGGAGACAGGTGAGGAGACAGTCCCTGCGTGTCGGGGGCCTGCCACTTGCACACACCCTGCAGAGCCATGCCTGGAGCGGAGTGAAGGCTGGAAGGAGCAGCACAGGGCTTTGTGGGAGTGTCAGGTGGGGGAAAGGGACGCTAAAGAAAAGCTGTGCCGCAGCCAGAACGGGCAAGGAAGGCGTGTGACTTGTGGCTTCACTTCTCCCTAGTCCCAGATTAGGCTGGGGGACTGGCTGCTGGAGCAGCCCCCTCCTCAGCGGAGAAGCGCTGAGGGGAGACAGGACGAGCCAGCGGAGTTTCCAGTGCTGGGAAGACGCTGCCCCGACACACCTGAGCTTCGCCCAAGGCGTCTCCTGTCCGTCATCCTCAGGCACCTGGAGGAGGTGCGGCTGGGTAACTGCCCAGGGAAGGAGGTGCAAGCCAGAGGGGCAGAGCCGGCTCCCTCTTGTTTTTCCTGTCCCTGCCCTGAATGACCTCCCAGCCCAAGAGGATGAGTAAAGACAAGTCAGTCCTCTGAAGTAGTCAGAATAGGGTGCTGTGGTCCCACCGAGTCGGGGGCTCTGAATATGGGGTTTTCGCCTCAGAGGTATGGGGCCAGAGAACCATGATGCTCCCTCAGCTCACATTTTCACCTCATGGTCAAGTTGGGGAAAGAGCAATGGGCGGAGACAAGGACAAAAGAGAAAAGAGCAAAAGAGCCCGGGGGTGGGGGAGACTCAAATACCTTTTAGAAAAGTAAGGTTCTGAGGGGCCAGGGGTCAGGGAGCTCTCTTTCTCCTCTGCTTTGGGGGTGTATATGAAACTCCGTCTGCATCCAGAGACGGCACTCCTGGCAGTTCTCCAGCAGCATCGCTTCTCTGACTTGTGTTATAATTCTGAGTATGTAGCTGAAAAAAGTCCAATGGTTCCCCTTCTGCCCAATAGTTCTCAATGGCAAGAGATTGGCTTGTGGTTCTAAGGCGGAGAAACAACTGACTTTGACCCGCTTATGCTGAGTCCAAGTCTTAGGCCAACCAGGGGTGGTTGAGCGATGAAGTTGGTGGACCCTGACAACTGGCCCTTCAGAAAGACAAAGTAGACTAGAGCAGAGTGACAAGCTGCAACTACTTCTAGCACCACATGGAGTATATTTTACTAAACATTGCAGCTTACACAGGTGGCGTGGGAATGGCTTTATTTAAAGAAACAGACCCATAAACAAAGAAAAGGGCCTGGACCCTCCAGACTTCATGATGGTGGGGCTGTGGCATCACCATTACCTGGGGTCTCAGTACAAAGGCAAGTGTAAACGTGTCATGAGAAGACTGGAGAATCCAGGAGGTCAGGCTAAGGTCCAACCAGTCCTTCTCCCTTCCTTTGTGTAGGACCACATGGAAATCTTACTAAAGAGATAAGAATGTCTACTCTTTCTAAAGACTAAGCCTTAAGACTCTTTGTATATGGATGGATGGTCACCTCCCTAGGTCAGGCCAATATCAAGTCCGATCTGAATAGTTGAATGGCCTTATAATTAGCCATCCTCTAAGCTCCCCATCTAATCTTATCCTCCACACTGATGTATTTTCCTAAGTTATCACTCAAATCCTGTGTCTTTTCTACTAAGAAACCTTGAAGGGCTACAAGATCAAATCCAAACACTTCTCCACCCTAGGCTGGCATTTAAGGCCTACTATAGTTCAATCCTAATCCATCCACCACAACCTCTTTTCACACTATCTCCCATCTTCTCTTCATCTATTTGAATCCTAACCTTCAAAGTCTGGCTTCAGTACCACCTATTCTGAAAATTCTTCCCAGATATGGATTGAGAGAGGAGAGCCTGTGGGTTTGAGGAGCAATGGAACCACATTGGCACTTAGGGAAATAAATCCAGACCTCCTTGGCAAAGCCTTCCTGGACCACCAACCTCACCCCAGTCTATACTGACCTCCTCCTCCCACCTATGAACTTACAGCCTTTATCATTTTCCTCCCCCCACCACCTTATTGAGATAAAACTGACATATAACATTGTGTAATTTTAAGGTGTACAATATGATGATTTTATATATATGTGTATATATATATATATGTTATATATATATATATATATATATATATATATACATTAGTGTCCCAGTGTACAGATTTGTGCACATTGAAAAGAAATTTAGAAGAAATATTTTAATCTTGCTATTCGCCCTTTCTCTATAATGTAAGTGTCAACCAAATTTACAATCGACAATGACAGATCAAAACACATGCATGCGATTGGCACCAGCAAGAGCTTTATATGTATCGCACATGTGTGAGTCAACTTAGCCTTTTATGTATATAGATAAATTTGCTTAATTAGACCTGCTTTCTGATTTAGCTAAACTTTTTCCAGCCCGGTGAAGCACCCCAACTTCTCTTTCAGGTAATTGTTAACAACACAGCAGTAAATATCTACACGAAGGACATTTTTTTTTTTTAGTATATTTTTATTGATTTCAGAGAGGGAGAGAGAGAGAAATAGAAACATCAATGATGAGAGAGAATCACTGATCAGCTGCCTCCTACATGCCCCCCACTGGGGATCAAGCCCACAACCCGGGCATGTGCCCTTGACCGGAACTGAACCCAGGACCCTTCAGTCCGCAGGCTGACGTCCATCCACTGAGCCAAACCAGCCAGGGCACAAAGCACATTATTATTGTAGATCACGCAGGGAGAACAAAGGGTAAAATATTTAACTGCAGCAGTGTTTGACTATATTCTGTGCAGTGAGAAAACCTGAAGTCATTTTCAAGGTCCACCATTTCTTACTTCTTTTCAGTCGGGTCAAGCTTCTAAACTTTCTAAATCTCTGTTTCCAGCTAATGAAAAGAAAATGGGATTCTACCGAGTCTCCTATCTACCTACTCCAGGACCTCTGTGAGGATCAAATGAGATGAGGCACGGGAAAACACTGCACAGACATTTGGTTAAACTGTAAAGTGTTTGCACCTGGCTATAAAGCAAGTCAGGTTCCTGCGCTGAAGAAACTCCAAGGAAGCTAGTCCCTCGGGCAGTGATGGCGAACCTTTTGAGCTCGACGTGTCAGCATTTTGAAAAACCCTAACTTAACTCTGGTGCCGTGTCACATATAGAAATTTTTTGATATTTGCAACCATAGTAAAACAAAGACTTATATTTTTGATATTTATTTTATATATTTAAATGCCATTTAACAAAGAAAAATCAACCCCAAAAAATGAGTTCGCGTGTCACCTCTGACACGCGTGTCACCGGTTCGCCATCACTGCCCTCGGGAGAGGAAGCCCGCGTTGCGATGTGATGTCATTACCCGGCGCCCACAGCAGCTGTTTCTGGGCCGGGCTGTGGGCCACATTTTGTGCCATGGGGTCTTGGCGGCGTTGGTTGTGATTTGGGGGTGTCGCTCCGGCGTGGCGGGGGCTGTGTCCCACTTGGGGAAGCAGAGTGTTGGTTTGTCAGTGCCAGGTCCGTGGTGCCATTTATTTTTAAATGGCCAGGGCGCCTGGCAGCTCCTGCACTGAGCATCTGCCCTCGGGGGGCCACAGCTACCGGGTGGATGGACACTTAGCCTTTTATAAATATAAATATTGCAAATGTTAACCACAGTAAGTTTAGTTTACACACACTTCACTGCACATTTTTGTTATTGTTGTTATGATAAGAATATTTTAAGATCTACTCTCTTTGTAACTTTCAAGTATACAATATAGTGTCGTTAACTATAGTCATCATGCTGTGTATTAGATTCCCAGAATATATTCTTCTCATAACTGGAAGTTTATACCCCTCGACCAATTTCTCCCCATTTCCCTAACCCTCGGCCCTGGCAACCACCACTTTATTCTGTGGTGGTTTTTTTTTTCCTTTTTGCTGCGCTTTTTCCACAAACAAATGTGGTTTAACTAACTTCGTAGGAAGATGACCTCAGAGCAGATCATTATTTTATCCAGTAAAACAAGATGGCATTTCCATTTCAGAGGCGTCCCTGGGTGCTGAAGCGGGGGAGACGGGAGGCGTTGCTGGGACACCCGGCCGGGCGGGGCCACTCGCAGCTACGCGTTCAGAACCGTTTTCCCCAGTCACGCCCTTCTCAAAGATGGCCGGCCTGGCTTCCCACGCAACAGGGACCTTCCCGATCGCTCCCTAGGGATTTGAGGTTAAGCTAATCCAGGACCGCTTGCATGACAAAACCTAAAATGGCAGGCATATCCCTTTAGAGTTTAAGGGCAGTGAAGCCACTTTTTTTTTCCCCCGCTCGGGGAAAATGGTCCCTTGCATCTGGCTCTGGTCTTTAGAGGCGTGGTTGCCAGGAGTTAAAATGGCTCCTCCCTGAGATGCAATAGGAAGTGAAGCTGTGACGGCAAGACGTTGCCCGGCCGTTATCTCCTGGGCGTTCTCGGAGGCGGCTCCCAGTGCCCTTACTAGACATGGCGCTGGCCAGTGTGTTGGAGAGCTCGGTACCGGCGAACCGGCACGGGTTTTTCGGACTCGGAGGTCGTGCAGATCTGTTGGACCTGGGTCCAGGTAGTCCCAGCGATGGGCTGAGCCTTGCCGCACCCAGCTGGGGTGTCCCAGAGGAGCCGAGGATCGAAATACTTCATGGGACCACCACCCTGGCCTTCAAGGTGCGGACCCGGCAGCTGAGCCGGACCGGAGCCCGCAGTGGCCGCGCCGCGAAGCCCAGGCCGAGGCTCGGGTCCCTCGTCCCGACCCTGACGGTGTCGCTGTCTCATTGCCCCGGGAGGCCTCGGTGCTCGCTCTGGCCGGGAGCGGGTGGGCTGGGCTGGGGCTGGGGCTGGGCGGGCCTGGGCCTGGGGCTCGGGCTGGGGCTGGTCCTGGGGCTGGGGCTGGGGCTGGGGCTGGGCCTGGGGCTTGGTCTCGGGCTGGGGCTAGGGATGGGCCTGGGGCTGGGGCTAGGGCTGGGGCTCGGCCTGGGCCTGGGCCTGGGGCTCGGGCTGGGGCTGGGCCTGGGGCTCGGCCTGGGCCTGGGCCTGGGGCTCGGGCTGGGGCTGGGCCTGGGCCTGGGCCTGGGCCTGGGGCTTGGTCTCGGGATGGGGCTGGGCTGGGCTGGGCCTGGGGCTGGGACTCTTGCTGGGCCTGGGCCTGGGGCTCGGGGTGGGGCTGGGCCTGGGGCTCGGGCTGGGCCTGGGCCTGGGCCTGGGGCTTGGTCTCGGGAT